GGATTATGGGAAAGTGCATACTTAAATATGCCAAGGAGTCGGTACTAAACCTGGGATGATTTAGTTTTACTGTTCTTTCAGTAAGAGATAAACTGCTTAAGAAAGGATAACGAACAATAAACATTATGGAGAACATGCATTCTTCAGAGGGACTGTGAAATAAAGTTGATGGGCAAAGCCAAAGGTGCCAAGCTTGAAATGCATTTTGGATGTATCGGCTGGATTTCGACATGCAGAAGCATTTGATTGAAAGGCTCTCAGTGAACATAAAATGTTTGCTTTTTACAGACACAAGTCCGGAAACAAGTCAAACTAATCAGTATAGTCTCTTTTGCATACAGATGAATACATCTGTATGAAAGTATTTTATCGGATACAACTGTTCTCATACAGGTAAGGCAATATCACGTCTCGGGTAAGCATCTTTATTAACTATAACACCAGGTGCTGAATTTTTGATAAAACTCATACATTAGCCAAAGCAGTTGTACTGATACAGTCAAAATGTACAAAATATAACTGCACACCGTGCTTGAAAAGTGCATGTTATCAGTAGTTAAAAAAAAAAAGTTCCAATAACCTATTTTCTAACCACAGATATAATTTTGTTGGCCTTAAGAGTTTCTGTGTGAATGTGTCTATTTTAGCAAAATTTTGATCTGCGAGAAAACAACGCAACTCATTACAGCGAAGGAGCAATGCATTATTTTGACGTTAATGAAACAAAACATGGATTTTTAGTTCAGAACAAATTTTTATTTAGCAGTAGATGTGTATCAGAACATTTTTTCTCCCACAAGATAGGTTTTAGAAGACTTTAATTCTTTTAGCAATCATGAATTACATTGAAATACATGAAGTACATTGAAATATTGAAATTCACAGAATGAAAATTACAAGTTCAGTGATGCCTGGATCTAACAAAGTTACACCCGCCCAAAAAATGACTCACATTATATAAAGGCAGGATTCTGGAGCAGAAAGTAAATACAAGAAGTTGAAGGGAATAATCCTCAGTTTTAATTAAAAAGAAGAGCTGAGGGATATACATACATACCTACATATATATAGATACATATAAATGTAAAAATAAAAGGATATATGTAGAGAAACAGTCAGTGGTACTCCTGACTTAATGGAAATTCAGGTGCCTTCAAATATGCACGCATGACTGCTGAACTGGCTCCACAACTTATACTTTTTATAGGCATTTATTGAGGACAAAAAAAGAGACGAGTTGGACAGACATATATCAGCTGAAAAGCATGACCCTGGATGCCTCAGGGACTACCAATGGTATTCAGAATCTTTTCTCTAAGCCATATCTACCGGCGACAGGGATTACCGAAGTCACTGCTGCCTGTTCGCTCTTTGAGATTTAGGTGTACTCCGGTTTTCAAATCAGATCCAGGACACGCAGCTTCAACATTTCAACGAGCGCTATTAAAACTGACACTAATTGATGCCTTGGTTGGCAGCATTAATAGAGAAGCGAGGACTGAGTATGCTAACTGCTCCCATATCCTGGTTCTACCAGCTCAGCTCTAAGCCAAGCTGACGAAGAAGCTCCTCTTCCAGCTGTCTTTGCAAGAGCTGCTCTGAGGAGGGATAGAAGACTTCTGCCTCAGAGGCAATGAGAAGCAGTACGAGTTTGATGCCATGATGAGGCTGCCTTGCTGCATGAGCTGTGCAAGACACAGAAGTAACAGGATACTTGCCCTCTGCCCCACAGTTCAGTTTCCCTTCGCAGCCTTTACTGTCCCTGTTCTACTATAAGTAATCGATGAATCTCCAGGTTCACGTCCTGAATATATTGATATATTTTCTATCTTTCTCCACTTTATATAGAGAGTATGTCACATGCGTGGAAAGATACGTAGAATCATAGGGTAACTCAGGTCAGAAGGGACCTCAGGAGGTCTCTAGTCCAAACTCCTGCTCAAAGCAGGGTCAGCTAGGGGGTCAGACCAGGCTGCCCAGGTCTTTATCTAGTCAAGTCTTGAAAAATCTCCAAGGATAGAGGCTGCACAACTTCTCTGGGCAACCTGTTTCACTGCCTGACTGTCCCCATTGTGAAAATTTTTCTTTGTGTCCAGTCTAAACCTCTCTTGTTTCAATTTACGCCCAGTCTCTCATTCTCTTGCCATGCACCATGGTGGAGAGCCTGACTCTGTATACTTGATACCCTCCTCGTCAGTACTGGAAGGCTGCTCTTAGGTCTCCTCAAAGCCTTCCCTTCTCCAGGCTGAAAAAGCTCCGGGCCATTAGCCCACAGATGCAAGTGCTCCAGCCCCTTGACCATCTTGGTGGCCCTGAACTTAGTTCAGCTGGCTGATGTCTTTCTCGTATTGGGAGCAGGCAAAACTGGATGCAGTATTCTAGATGTGATCTAGTGAGTGCCAAGTAGAGCACCTACAGAGGGAGGTAATCACTTCCTTTGATCTGCAGGCCATGCTGTTCATACAGCCCAGGATGCTGTTGGCCTCCTATGCTGCCAGGGCACGCTGCTGTTTATGTTCAGTTTGTGCCTACCAGGGCACCCAGGGCCTTTTCAGCAGAGCTGCTCCCCAGCCAGGCGGTCCCCAGCCTGTACTGTTGCAAGGGGCTCTTCCTTCCCGGGTGCTGGACCGTGCAATTGTCTTTGCTGAATTTCCTAAGGTTCCTGTTGGCCCGTTCCTCCAGCCTGTCCAGGTCCCTCTGGAGGGCAGCCCTGCCCTTGAGCGTATTGACTGCTCCCCAGTTTGGTGTCTTCTGGGAACTCGATGGAGGTGTGCTGTGTCACCTCCTCCATGTCACTGATAAAGACATTAAAGAGGATGGGCCCAAGATTTGCCCCCATGGTAGTCCACTAGTAACCGGCCTTCAGGTAGAGTACGTCCCATTAACCACTACTCTCTGAGCCCAATCATCCAACCAGTTTTTCTGTCCACTTACTGACACTGTAGCATGCTAACTTGGATACAAGATATTGTGGGAGACAGTGTCGAAAGCCTTGCTACAGTCGAGCTAAAAGACATCCACTCCTCTCCCCTTGCCCACAGATCTGGTCATCGTATCACAGAAGGCAATCAGGCATGACTTACCCTTGGCAAATCCATGCTTGCTGTTCCTAGCCTCCTTCCTCTCATCTGCCCAGCTATGTTCCAAAAGGACTCACTCCTTTTGATTGATGATTTTTCCAGGAACTGAAGTGAAGCTGACCCACCTGTAGTGCCACAGATAGTTATTTTGGCCTTTTTTGAAGATAGGTGCAACATTTGCTTTCCTCCAGTCATTGGAGACCTCCCTCATCTCCTTTCCAAAGATGATCAAGAGCAGCCGTGCAAGGACATCAGCCCATTCTCTCAACACACGTGGGGGCAGCCTGGGTGGCCTCGTGCACTTTCATGGGTCCAGCTCTCTTAAGTAATCCCTGACTTGATTCTCAGCCACTGCTGGTAGTTTTTCTCTTCCTTGAACCCTTTCACTAAGCAGAGAGCCCTGGGAGATCTTGCTGGTGAAGTCTGAGGCAAGGAAGGCATTGAGTACCTCTCCCTTATCTGTCTCTGCTGCCACTAAAACACCCACCCCATTCGGCAACACACCAGCAACACATTTTCCCTGTTCAGCCTCTTACTACTAATGTAGTGGTGGAAGCTCTTAGTGTTGCCCTTGATGTTCCTTGTTCCAGCTAAGCTTTGGCTTTCCTAACACTATGGACATGTAAATAGAAAATAGCATTAGAAAAATCCCAGAAAATTTACTCAACTCTGTTCTTCATGCTTCAGAACATCTTTGCACCCTCTATTCCCAAGTCTCTTACTAAACTTTCATTCAGACCTCTTTCTAACTCACGCTTCTCTTACGTTCTTTTTAATGGAAATTAAACATGGCTGTTGGAAACTGAACATGGCTACTGCTGACCGCAACAGCACTCTGTGAGGTGTATACATTTACTGACATGGTACAATCACTATATCGGCTCCTGTTTAACAATACTTGAATTTGAGCATATTTATGCCTGTTTTCCCACATACGGTATGTTTCCACCAAGACATGACAGAGTTAATTACTACATACCTCAGGCCCTTGAATGAACTTAATCTGTGGTCTAAATTTCAGACTGCGCATGAAGTGCACACGAGCAGCCCCAAGAAATACATCACGTAATACCAGCTTGCTTATAGATAAGCCAAAAACCCTGAGTGGACGTGCAAGGACTCTGAGGTATTCTGCTGCTTGGAGCCTTGTGTTTGGAGTTGTTCTCTTCATAACCACCACTCGCAGTCAAGAAGCTTCTATTTTTGGCACCTTAACATTGCTTATAACTCACGCTTGCAGTTACTTCGTAATTGTTTCTGGCATTGAATCATGCTTTCACAGCGTGTCTCGAGTCCTAACTGCGCTACTCTGTCATCGTGAGAATTGCTCTTTTGTACATGGCTATAACCTTTCCGACGTTCCCAGCATCCTACATCCTTGGCAAAGCATTTAGTACTACCTCACACATCCAGATTTTCCAGTGCGTTTCTGATATTGGAGCTAAATGACCAGGTCCGTTAATCAAAGCTGTGCCAGACTCGTCAGTCCCCAGCCACCAGTCAGGAGTAACACGTCCCTTCTCATGCTTAAGATTTACTGAAATCAAGCTGTAGTTATGGGCTTCCACGACACGATTCAGTCTGCTCAAGTGCTATTAATTTGGGGCTGGTTTTGGTGTAACTTGGGGTTGCAGAAGAAAGTCATCAAAATGGTTAGAAGCACAAAAGGAACTGAAAGAACACAACAGTGCTATACTGAGAAGGAAGCGCGTTTACTGAGAAGGACACAAGGACGAGAAGAGAAACGGAGCTGCTGTGCAGGGAGGAGAGAGCCGAGTCCAAAGGGAGTCTGGACATCCAAAGCGGAAGTCAAAGTACAAGCGTCGGTGACGAATATCCTCCGATACTGAAAGCACTTGCAATAGCAGGGCTGAGCGCAAGGGCTGAACGGTGGGTAGTGCCCCATAGTTAAAAAAGAGCAAAAAAAGAGAAGCTACGCTTCCTTATCGGGAAAGAAAACAGCTGATGCGAGCAGCTGCGAGCTTACTGACCCGGCCTCAACAGTACCCAAGGAGGGAAGGAGAAAAGGCATGAAGATACTGGGTCAAGTAACGGGCCAAATTACAGGGCGGGTTTATGAGAGATGTCAGGGTCCCGCAGCACAGCTCCGGCAGAAGGTACTTCGCCTGGCGGCGGCGTGCCGCGCGCCTCCGGCCGCGCAGGGCAGCCTGCGCTTTCTTGTGGAGACCTGCTGCGCTAGCGGGCTGCAGCGAACCCGCGCGCTGAGCCCATCACACCTCTCCCACGCGGCTTTGCTAACGGCGCCCGTTGG